GAGGCAGGAAAGAGACACCATCAGTCATTGCTGGCTTTGAAGATGGAGAAGGTAGCATGAACCAATGAAAGTAGGTGGCCTCTACACAAAGATTGAAAAAGGCAAGGGAATGGATTCTTCCTGAGAACTTCCCCTGACTTTAGCCCAGTGGAAACCTTTTATGGACTTCTGACCTCTAGAACTATGACAATAAATTATGCACTGTTTTAAGCCACTAAGTTTATGGTAATAAGCATTCATTTTAAAATTATTTTTGCCCTATTTATGTTAAGATTTTTAATTAGCATTTAACAAGTTATGACAGAAAGCAGCCTAAGCACCATAAGCTGACCTTAGTTCATAAGGCTCAAATGACATCTGGGATCTGAACTTCACCAATGTCATACTCTGAGTAGTCACACATTGGGTAACTGCATACCAGAACATGTGACCAAGAAATATGTGACCTAGAAATGTAACCAATACACTCAGGTCTTCCCACATAAATGTGCTGTATCTAAAATTTTCCAAGGCAGTGAGAAATGCGTAACAAAACAAAAAACAACATTGTGGCTGGATACTTAATTTTTGTTTAATTATAGCAATCTTTTTCAGGTATAAATAACGTCTGCCAAATTCTATAAGACAGGCATTATATTTCCTATTACTGATAAATTTAACAAGCTCATACTCTTTATTTATGATAAAAAGAGGCCAGAAATAAAGATAGGAAAATGAGATCTACCTTTACAAAAAATGTTTTTAAGAAATAACACCGTAACTGTAACATAGCAAACTCTCATCCAACAATTATCCATTGTCATTTTCTCAACCGTAACTTACCAAATAATATAAGGACTATGAAAAGCTCCTATAACTATGAAAAAAATTCTTAAACCAAACAATTTGATTTTAGATGCCATGTATCTATTTCAGTCATTACACACTTTTATTATTCTTTTTGTTGTTGTTTACACTGTTTGGATGCGTATTTACTCTCATTGACACTGACAATGGCAGAGTATAAGGTTTATATTTTACCAAGATAATAATTTTACGCATGACAAAGTAGAAGGGCTGTTAGGAATACAAAGATAACTTACAAAGATTCTGCCCCTAAAGTGCTCACAGCAATAGGAAAACAGGCAGGACATAAGGACATAAGGACGTAACAATAGCAACCAAGTGCAAATATGCTTTAACATATGCCAACTGTTTCTGTTTGGAAGAGAAGGGTTTCCTGAGAAAAGAGTATAAGGCTAGAGGGAAGCCAGGTCTAAAAGAAACATTTTATTCTGTAGGAAATGGATAAGTCAACAAAGGTTTTTGAGCAAGGAAACAGCACGATACCTATGGTAGAAAGTATAGGCTAGAGGGAAAGACGAGGAGGAAAGCCCGCTGGAAACTAAACTGTCAGATGCAGAAGACTTGAACTATTCAAAGCATACTTTTATACCACCTGTGGCTTCTATTAAGGTAACTGTTAATACAAGGCAGACCAGTGAGGGAGAAGCACTACAATTCATGTTGAAATATCAGGGCCATATATCCAAGGAAATGGGCTTTTTGACTTTAAGACCCTGAGCCAATTTTATGGAAATAGCTAAAGCAATTTAAAATCAAAAGTCCTGCAATGCCAAAATTTCTCAACTAGGGAAGTCACAGGGCAAGTTCAAAGGGAGTAAAGAAGATTAATGATGTAACATCCCAAATAGCTGGCTGGTTGGTGGCAGCAATAGAAAAATATCCACCAAACAGAAGAGATCCAATCTCTCACCTCATTTTTACCCAAACCTGTAATATTTAAACCAAGCTAAAAAAGGAAATTAAGGTGTGGATTTTTGTTTGTGGGGATGGGTGGAATGGAAGAAAGAATAGTGAGGTGGAGTAAAGGAGAATAAAGCTCAAAGCTTTGGAGTCAAATGATTTAGGAACAATTCATGAAAACTTTACTTATATAATCTAACCCCTTATAACTTCAAAATACATAATAAAATAATATTGAGCAAGTACAAGTAGTATATTATAGTCTTTCTAAAATACAACCTAGGCCTAATGATACTGCCCTTAAAAGGGTGATAAATTAAAACATATTCAAAGATAAAACAATAAAAGATATTTCCCCCTGCAACAATTAAACACATATAATAGAGAACTTTCATTAATACTTATTTTGTTAAAATAAATTTCTCCATTTAGGATTATTATTCTAATATTAAAGCCTGAAAACTAAACCTAAAAAACTTAAAACACCCAAACCCTGATCTAACTTCCTTAGGGTCAATGATTAGACTAGGCCCTTTTAAGGCCAATTCACTACTCCTGATAGGGATAGTGAAATCCCTCTGGTTTAAATCATATAGACACTCAGTACCAAAATCGTTACTAATAACGTGCAAGTGTTATACCTGAATCTCTCAGCCCGGATGTCTAAAAATACATGTCTTAAGAAAAAACAAATGCAATATAATTAAAACGATTTAATAGACTGTCCTAAATGTACTTTAGAGACTTATGTCTTAAATGGAAAAAAATCATTTGATGAGAAAAACAAAATAATTAATGAGGAAGAAGACCTGATGTAAATGGCCAGGACATTCATGATAGGTTACCTAGAAACCATTTGACATTTCTAGTTGATTCAGTTGCCATGTTTTAGATGGAATCACTTCATTGAGCTGCTTACACATATGCTTTAAACATCCAAAAAAGGAACCAAAGGTCACAATTCACTGCTAAAGTCACATTAGGGGGAAAAAATGTTTTCAAACATTCCAAGAATTAAGATTTATGAAATAAGTAAGCCAGCATTCTGTTTATAGGAACTAGGGTCCTATGAAAGCCTTGGCAAAAGGGTAACGTGGGGAGGAAGACAGAAGAAGCGTGCTCGGACAACAAGACAGAGATGGGACAGGATTCCCACAGAGGGAAGAGAGGTAGGGATAAGCCAAAGACCACAGCTAGAAAAGACACCTCAAGGAATTTAGTTACCTAAAGATTTTTAAAAATCATTTTGAAATCTTTCTAAGAATTCCATAATTTCTTCTGAAAATCAGGACTCTGATACACCTTTCTTATAACTTACTGTAGATGGCTACAGAGATTCAACTTTTGGTTCTATATTACACATCCAACTATATTTAATTGTTAATCTAGAACAGTGGTTCTCAACCAAGGTTAAATTTTGCCCCCAGAGGGTGTTGGGCAATATCCAGAGACATTTTTGAGGGTCACAGGTTGGGGGGCTGTTACTAGTATCTAATGGGTGGAGGCCAAAGACATTGCTGGACCTACTACCATGCACAAGACAGGCTGCATAACAAAGAATTATCCACCCCAAAATGCCAACTGTGCTAAGGTTAAGAAACACTGATTTCTTCTAGATATAAACAAAGGCCTGTTCCTGGGACCTTTACCCTAGTCCATCTGTCTCTCTAATAGCTATCTAATTAAAGGATTAAACACCACCACCAGAAGATTCATTTTTCAATTGCTTTAAACATGCTGGATGGCTGGCTCAAACTAAGAGTCACACAGAAATACACGGAAAAATAGAGCAGGAGTGCAAAAACTACAGGAAAAGTTTTTAATCCTTCTTTTATCTCATACTTGTCTCAAGCACATTTAATTCACAAAAGGAGTGGTATCTACATGGTTTGACATCAAGTTGTGTGTTTCTTCTATGTGCGATATGCTAAAAATACACTGAGCTCCTCAAAATACAGTATTTTCTTATTAATGTAAAAACTAAGGCAAACAGTATTAACTGAGAAAGATTTATATTGGGGACAGGAGGGTGAAGAAAGCCACCCAGGTCTTTAAAATGCAAAGTTATTTCATAGTTTACTTGCAAAATGACTCAGATCATTATTACTTTTAGTCATGCCAAGTTTGCTGCTTCTAAGCCTACTAGTAATGGAGAAAAAAAAACCCACCATTTTTTCTGCAGTCATTAAGCCAATGAAACAGAAGCTTACTGAAAACAGGCTTTGTGCAATATTTCTCTTTTATTATAATTGCTATAAAAATAAAAGCAATCGCAGCAAATGCCAATGAAGATTCTGAGAAATTTTTCATCTACCTAAATACCTATAGAGTGTGGGAGGAAAACATACAAACAAAAGAAAGCCCTAACTCAGGGTTCTGAAAATCCTAAACTGTGAATATTTTCCTAATGTTTCCCTCAGTCAAAACCCTGGTTTACTTTTTGTTTTCTTCCCCTTCAAACAACTGGGAAAGACCTCCACCACAGCGTTTCACGAGAAGAACAGCACTAAGAACAAATAAAAGCCTAGCGCGTACCTAGCAAATCTCATTCATCAGAAACCGTGGCAGCGGAGAGAGAATCCTGTTGTCTAGCATGACCCTTTCGCTCCTTTCACAGCGGTTTTCACCACTCGAGTATCTGCCTTACCTACTACTGGAGCAAACCTTTCCACCCAACTTGGGTGATTTCCATGCCCCCACAATAATAAAATTCAAGCATCCAGAGCAGCCTATTTCCTTGTGCAGGGTAAATATAATTAGTGCTCCTTTTAACACTTAGTGAGTCGCCATAGGAAGTTAACAGGAAAAACACTTCAACCCCACAGAGGCCCACAAAAGGTGCAATGGTTTCACCAAACGTGGCCCATCCGAAATACACCACCCCGTAGGACGGGTTTTCCGAGGGAGGAGGGGACGGGGTATTTTCTTGTTGCGAAGAACCCTGCATCCTTATAAGGCTGAACTAAACTTCAAAGAAAAGGGTTTACACGCGATCCGCCACCTTAAAATTGCTCCCCGGCTCCTTGCAGGGTCACGCTAAGGCATGAGAGTGAAGTGAAGCGCTGCCCCACGGCAGGGAGTTCTCACCCGCCAGGGCGGAGGGAGGAAGGGGACCCGGGAGAGGAGGACCCGCCTCGGCTCGGCACTGCACAAGCCTAGCTCTCGCCGCTTCCACACGTTTCCTCCGGCTTTCAAAAGGCCGAGGGCCGCGCCCAGCCCCCCAGCCCGACCCCCGTCCGGCCGGCCGCCCTTACCGAGCAGCAGCAGCTTGACCTCGCGCGCCGCCTTCTCGCCATCCTCGCGGAGGTTTCGGTCGATCATCTTACTCCGCTCCACCGCCGCCTTGTCCTCGGCGCTCAGCGTGCAGCCCATGGTGCCTAGAGCGAGAGCTCGCTGCCGCTCCCTGCGCGCCCGGAGTGCTGTCTCGAAGCACAGGTGAATGCCTTCTTTCTCCAAGCGGGCGCTCGACTACCTCTCGCCGTCGGCCACACTGCCCCCACCACTTCCTAAAAGGAGTGAGGGGAACGCGGTCTGCAAAGGAGCGAGCAGCACCGCGCGGCTATTCCCCACAACCGGGCGCCGCTCAGCGCCCCCGAGTCTCGGGTTTGGGGCCTCGAAGCTCTGGCTACCGCCCTCCCGCCCGTGGCCGCGCCGCAGCCTCGCGAAGCCCAGCCGAGCTCGGCCTCCGCGCGCCGCCGCGGCCCCGCCCCTGCCCGCCCCTCCCGCCACCCCGCGACCACTCCCAGAGCGCGCGCCCGCGCACGTGCCCTCGGACAGCGCCCCCTCAGAGGGGCGCGCGCCCGCGGCTTCCCCGACCCCGGCGCCGCGCAATCCCCGAGGGCCCGGTGCGCCCCCTGGCAGCGCCCCCGGAGCGCGGAACTGCCCTGCGGGGCTGTGGCCGCCCGGCCCCGGCGCTCCCGTACCCCGCTCCCGTGAGGGAGGGGGGTAATTTCTTTCCGTTTACTCACACCCAGGGATCTGTGCGTACCTGCCCCTTCGGGTGGGGGTGGGAGAGCTGCCAAAGTTGGAAGCCGAAAAAAGCCGGTCCTGGGCGTTTGAGCATGCCCAGCGCCGGCAGCACGCAAGGGTTTTCAAAATGTAAACCCCTGTAGGCTGGCGTTCAGGGCCGTGGGAAACAGAGGGAGCTGGGAAGGAATGGAACTGTGGTGAAACCAGAGATGGGGACAGTGGAGAACCGAAAAGTCAGGGGAGGGGGATAGGAGGGGGCACCAAGGTCAATTTTCTTCCTTCCTTCCGTTTCTCTTTCCTTACTTCTAGCCTTCCCTCCTTCGCATCCATTCTCACGCTTTTCACAAGCAGAACACATTTTGAAGGATTTCCTCATAACCTGAAAAAATGTGAGACAGAGAATCAAGCGGTATATTTTTAAATGACAAGATCAATAAAACACACCCACACAAATCTCCACACTATAACAGATGTCCTCTTCATGTAAGCTTTCATGCCAAGTTTTGAGCCAATATTTATGACCATGTTAGTAACTTCTGTGCCACCACGCATGTCATTCCTTTTTGCAGGCCTTAGCTGCTTTGTTCATAAGATGAGTTGATCTATGGAGCTATGGCTCTGTCCTTCCAGCTCTAACTGGTCTGGGGAAAATGAATTCCCAGGGCCTGCAGAGGCATCTCACCCAGCACTGAATGAAATGAGCAGGGGCTTAAGGTCTGGTCCAGGGTGGGAAAACTGCGGCCTTGGGGCCACATGTGGCCTTCTGGATTCTTGAGTACAGCCTTTTGATTGAATCCAATTTTTACAGAGCGAATGCTTTTAATAAAGGGATTTGTTCTGTGAAGACTCTGGTGTCTCCTTGTCAATTGCATGACACCTTTCCCCTACAGACAACACAGGAAATGTTGACTGATTAGAAGATGGGATGGGCTAGTAGCACAGAAAAACATCTTCCTTGATGATTATAATTTAGGGTTGCTCTTTGATTTCCATCTGGAAGTCTTATTTAACTGAGCTTGAGTTTTTTAAGGTGATGCTGAGCTGATGATACAGGCAGAATTGCTTTAGAATAGGTCACTTAGACCAGGCCTGTGAGCTAGCAGAGACTGGCAATTCTCTCCTTATGTGGCATGCCCTTTCCTGTTCTCCTACAAGAGTCAAACTTGCAGGACTCAAGAGATACCATTTTAAGACCTGACTCAACTTTTCCTATAACCTTTTGTAGTATGACAACAAAAAGAAACAATCCTTAAAGGTACTTAATCACCTTCTACCCTCTTTGTAATTTTTGGGCCTCTAAATGTTAATACATACCAGGAACTCTGGAATTAACAAAATCAAATTTCAACACAGTATTTGTGTATTAGCCATTTTGGATTATCTGTTCTTCCGAGTCTTTCCTATTAAGTTCAGGCCAGGTAGAGTGTGGGACCCACAGCTTCAGCAAAAAAGGAGATAATCATAGCTGAATACTGCTAGAAATGACTACAAAACTTGTGTTTTGGCAAAATGAAGGTGTAACAGAATTATACACATTACCTTTCTCATTTGAAAGGTTTAAGTAGATGAAGAGTTAAAATGTAATACATACAAAAAATAAGACCTACAAATTAGCTTTACATGAAGCAAAACTTCTAAAGGGATGCAGAGTAATGAAGTGATCAGTATGGGGGAAATTCTAAGAGAAGAAAGTTTTGACAAAACATCTGAAGGAAGCGATGACATGATATTGGTGGGGAGTTTCAAGGAGTATGTATTAGTTAGACCAGGCTGCCATAATAAAATACCACAAACTGAGTGGCTTAAACAACAGGAATATATTTCTCACAGTTCTGGAGGCTGATAAGTCTAAGAATAAGGTGCCAGCTGATTCAGTTCCCCAGTAAGAGCTCCCTTCCTGGCTTACGGATGGCCACCTTTTTGTTGTGTCCTTACAAGGCAGAGAGAGAGAGAGAGAGAGAGAGAAAGAGAGAGAAAGCACTCTGGTCGCTTTTCCTCTCCTTACAAGGTCACTAATCCCATCATAAGGGACCTTCTCTCAGGACCTCATCTAAACCTAATTACCTCCCAAAAGCCCTACCTCCATATATTATCATTTTAGGGGTTAGGGCTTCAACATAGGGATTTTGGGGACACACAAAAGTTCAGGCCATAAATAGGGTATATATATATTTTTAGAAGAATAACCAGCTAAAGGGTTAATATGCAAAGTATATGTAGGAGAAAGCAATTGTTTTATAATTGAAATGTAGTTTGGCTGTGATGAATGATAGGTTGTGTGGGACAAAGTTGGAAAACTTAAATCTTCAGCTTTAAAGCTTTAAAGGTTAAGCTGAAGAGTTGGACTTGATACAATGGGCACAAAGTTTCCCTTTCATTCTCCTGAGTTGGGTAATAGATGTTAAAAAAAAAAAAATCTCTTACCACCATATGTAAAACAATTGAGTTACCAGTAAGTGGATTGTGTTAGTAATCCCGATATGAGGTGGTGAGAGTCACTCAAACTAATAACTTACATAATTATGATGTTGCAAAATATGATTCAACAACCTTGTCAAGGAGGTGGAGCAGATATTATTAACTCATCTGTTTTACAGAGAGTGAAATTGAAATTACAGAGTTTGTTAAAGCACTCTACTTCAGAGTACTGTTTTCTCAACATCATATGTTTGTTTTTACAAGTTTATTGAAATAAAATCATATACTATCAAATTTACCTATTTAAAGTATACAATTCAATGGCTTTTAGTGTATTCACCAAGTTGTGCAACCATGACCACAATCAACTGTAGAACATTTGCATTTCCCCAGAAAGAAACCCTGCATTCCTTAGCCATCCTTCCCAATCCTTCATCTCCCCTCTCAGGTCCTAGACAACCACTAATCTAATTTCTGTATCTTTAGATTTGCCTATTCTAGACATTTTATATAAAAGTAACCATATAGTAGGTAGTCTTTTGTGACTAACTTCTTTCATAAACATAAAGTTTTCAAGATTCATCCATATTGTAGCATGTACCAGTACTTCTTCTTTTGCTGAATCATACTGAGCATTATATGTTAAGAGAGTTAGAAACATATGTTAAGAGATAAATTAGAACACATTCAGCTGAGAATGTCAGGTTTTAAAGTAGCTCCAAACTATGTCATAAGGAATAATTGAAAAAACTGGGGATATTTAATGCAGGAATGAGAAAATACAAAGTGACACAATAGCTTTTTTCCAAATGAGTGAAGAGATGTCATAAATCAAAAGGAATAGACTTTTTCTGTTTGGCTTCAAGGTGGTATTGAAAGAAAGCTATAGCAAACAAAATTTTACCTTAATTTGAAAAAGAATGGTGTGAAATTCCCATAAAAGGAAATAGGCAACCTCAGAAACTCATTCATCTCTAAGATGTAAAAATATAGACTGGATGATCTCATATTGGGCACAATCTAGAGCTAGAGGAACTTTTAGGAGCTCTTCTTCTCTGTTTTAAATGTGTCCTCCAAGATCATGTGTGGGAAAGTTAACCATCAAAGCAATAGTATTGAGAGGTAGGACCCTTATGAGCTGATTATGAGGGCTCTGCTCTCATGAATAGAATAATGCCCTTATCTTGGGAGGGGAATAAGTTAGTGACAGAGGGATGAGTTCAGCTCCCTTCCCCCACCCCCCTCCTGCCTTCTACTTTCTACCTTGGATGATGCAGCAAGAAGGCCCTCTCCAGATGCCAGCCCCTGGACCCTGGACTTCCCAGCCTCCAGAACTATAAGAAATAAATCTCTTTTCTTTATAAATTACCCAGTCTCAGGTATTCTGATATACCAGCACAAAACAGACTAAGACACTTTGAGATCCTACACTTTTCAGAAGTCAACTGGGATTAGTATCAGAACTAAGATTAAAACTTGGATCTCCTTCCTGCCTCCAGCCCTTTTCCTACCCATCCTGTCGTCAGACAAATAACAAAAAGTGAGAGAATTTATCTGAGATATGTTGCTTTGGTGTGTTGATGGATTAGTGTAAAGGAGGAACCATAGAAGAAGACATAGTAAGGACAACCTGACACGTGTGTGTGTATGTGTGTGTAAAGAGAGAGAGAGAGAAAAGGAAAGAGAGAGAAAAGGGGAGAGAGAGAGAAAGAGAGAGGAAGAGAGAGAGGAGAGAGATCTCAGAAAAGAGATATCAGAATATGATGTGTATCTGTGGCTAGCTATGTTGGGAGCAGATGTGGCAGGTGGACACCTCTCCATTGTTTGCCTTATTTTTGCTTTCTAAAGGAGATGGAAAGAGTTGGGTTTGGGTAGAGGCTAGAAATATTTAAGAAGAGAGAGGGGTTAACATGGCATCTGTACTCTTCCCTGGTTAGAGATAAAAAAGATCCAAACCAAGACTATTTTCATTACACACGTTGTGAGATTCTGGGCAAAGTTTGAAAAACAAAAGCCCATTGCATTGTTACTGAGAAACTTAGGAGACAAGCAGCATTCTTTGAGTATGCAGGTTACAACATTGTGGTACAGAGATAATACAATGGCCATTGTCTCTGCAAGCAATATACCTTCACTAGGGCACCAGGGCATTGACAAACTAAAAATGTCTAGAGACAGCACTTTGGGTTTGGACATTGTCATTCTCCTGATGAGCACTTCACCATTAGCAATGCTTAGTCTCCCTTGAGTAGCTTCATGGACAGTCAACATGACAAAAGAGAACTGAAAAAGAAGAGAGAA